TTCCAGCATTTTTTGTAAAACTTTTCACAGCACACCTTTTGAAAAAAACCAAGCTTTTTATCATTTATCCGTACTATGATATATACAAAGTATAACATGTTGCAAAACCTGGTATATTATATATTTCATGACTACCTGAAACATTCAAAGAAACCCGATCAAACCTAAGTTCTAGCGAGTCAACACTAAACGTAATATCATCGATAGTTCTCTTGATTGTAATGAGTCATTTATTTGCAATCAGCAGCAATAAAAGAGACATAATTACAACAAAATTTATCTTTCCGACTTCTCAATTTATTCCAAACTGTCTAAGAGATATCTCAACGACTAAGAAGTAATGTTTTGAGTGTCTATTTGAAAATAATGACATTTGAGGTAAAGAATAACAATGACAAGAGTGAGAAAGATAAGGATTTAGGTGTGGGTATGGTTGTCGGAATTCTTCTAACTAACACTCACACCTCACACCCATACTAGCATCCTATAGGTCGAAATTCACGCGATAAGAGTCAATGAGATATTCCGATCATGATGAAGATGAACTTAGCAGCAGCCAAAAAGATTCTTTTTCCCAGGGCTTTAATAAACGATCGAAATGGGTGTGGGTAGAGAATGAATACCTACACCCACACCCACCTCCCACACCCTCGTACTGTGAAATTCATGCTATGTCACATTCTCGAGGAGACTTTTGAATTTTCTTTGTTATCTTTATTATGATATATTGTTGAAAAATGTGACTTTTCCGAGAGATTTAATAGAAAACGATCCATTTACTTTTTAAATGATAAGATAGAATATCTTGAAGACTTTAAATAATAATCGTATGACGAAATTTTGAGTGAAGCTTTTAGCCTATAATTCATAAAAAGAAGATTATTAAACGAATCAAGAGCAACAAAATCACATAATGCTTGAAGTATCTAGACATAAATGAGATATAAGAAGTATATTGCTGCTGATATCTAGGCGTCATGTTATGAATATTTATGGCAACTCACAAGTATGTTTTTCTATAATATATGTGGCTTTTTACAGACGAAATATTGTTTCTCTTCGAAAAATATATGAATACAAAAAGAAAATACTTGACATTTTTTGTATGTTAGTACAATTTGATTTATTTTTTGATTTAAGATTTTGAGCTGCAGATTTTATATAGATTTAACAGTTCCCCATCAGAAAAGCATACTATATCATCAGTCAATATCATTCAAATACTGTATTGGTTTTGTGACATACCTATGGGTATGAATGTTACATTGATTCAACATCCGCAAGAAGAATACCGGGATAGAAAATCATCTTTGCCTTTTCTGAGTATCAAGTTCAAGTCTGAGAATTTGAGAAGAACAGACACTTGTTTGATAATTTGTCTTTCATTTCATTATCTCCAAATAAATATTTCTGGGTGTAGATAAATAAGAGCTACACTGACACCCTCTCGTCACACCCGAACAAGGTTGCTGAATTGGTATACAGATCAAACAATTGGATTTTACAATTGAACTAACACAGATTTTTGGCAAATATTTGATGAATTATATCTATATATATTTCCTTTTGTTTTAGTATGTTAATTCATTTGTTTAATCAAATATTTCATTATCGAAACATGTTTACCTGTATAATATTTTCAATTAAATACAAAAGAAAAATTCTAGAATCTATCTATTTGATGGATTTTAAAAAAGGAAGACGAAATAGTGTGGCACGCATGATTATTACTTTTGTTATTACTTTTGTTGCTTAGAAGGAAACGTCTAGCAATAGAAATGACAGGGATTGTTGTCAGCAGTAACAATAATTTTCTAATAAAAGGAAGATTATAACTTTGTCTTCAATCAATATTTTCCTTAGAAATAAAAATGTGATTAGAAGCACATAATCTAAAATGAGCTCAAGGAAAAAAAACAACTTGATTCAATATTATATGCTCTGATTTGTTTTTTGTTCAAGCGGACAATATATGGCATCATTTTATCATGATGTAAATGGAGGTAGACTATATCTCTTATTGCTGTAAATCATCATTCGACATAAACATTTCATAGCTTTATTTTTGTATTTAATATAATAAATGTGCGTCATCTATTCCAGGTGTTAATTGATAAGTGCTTTTTTTAACGTTTCCATGGAATGGACGACACGTTATAATAGAATGAAAAACAATTCTTTATGATTAATGTTTTGAATTTTCTTTTTGGGACTTTGTTGTAGATGTATGAGTGAGAATAATAATAACGAAAATATGTTACTTCGTTCATCTGTCTTTGTACCTTTTGAGTCTCTTACACAACAAGTTATCAAATCTATAGTTTCAGTTGCAACAACATTTCGTAAACCTGGTTTTGATTACAGTGAACGTACGATCCTCATATTTTTGCTTGAAATAAAGAAAAAACTAAAAGATATTGAAAAGAAAATCCAAGAAAATAGCACAGAAATCGATCAACAAGTGATTCAACATGCACACAATGTTCAACAATGGCTCGTCAATATAAATAAACAACCAATAAATTGGATAGAACTTGAAAAGAAATATAATAGAATTGCCGACCAAAATTGTGATGAAATGGATCGTTATTGCCGATCTAATACTGCTGAACCTTATTTTGAATTAAAAGTCAAAACTGTGAGTTGTTGATAGGACTTTTGAATAATTTTTTTCGACTAAAATTTTTGATCGAACCATACAAAGATGAATAAAAATTGAATGTATGCAATATTTACTTCATTTATAAGTTTTCTTTTACATATTACTATTTTTATTATATAGGAATGGGTTACGTTTAATTTTTATTTTAGCGATATGCTGGTGTACTGCAATCTCGTGAGTATATAAAAAAATTTCGAGAAAATGGCTTTGATTCAAAAGAACTTAAGGTGTACTGGAATGTGAAACAAATTGAAAATCTTTGTCCTGAATCAAGCGAAAAAATTCCGTATGATCCATCAGATGATGATGCTGTTGAAAATCTTC